AAGACACAACAGAAACTGAGGCCATCATTTGCCCAGAGCCCCAGCCTCAGGGAGTAGTTGGGTCTGGGAACCATAGCATTTTCTTCCATCAGACTCCATTAAGAAAATGTCAAGTTAAGCAATTTATTAACATTTAAAATACTGTACAGTGTGTAAACCAAATATCCCCCTCCCCACAACAACCCTGTGCTTTCAGCGGATGCTCTGGTGAATAATACTGCTTTTGGCACTGTTTGCCTTCTCTTTCTCCTTCTTCTTTATGGGGTCCATCTCAAAACAGCGCCACAGTCGCAGTGTTTCATCAGCAGCTGCTGAGGCCACTGTTGTACCATCAGGGCTCATAGTCAGGTTCAAGATTCTGGCGGTATGACCTGAGGAGGAAGATGAGGGTGCAGTCAAGGCTGAGCTAATCAGCATATATATATATATTTACTCCTGTATGCTCCCATGAGCTCTGCCAGCTTGCATAGCTGTCCCCACGCTGGCTGTGGCAGCATGATTTCAGACCCCAAGCAGACACTTGGAACAATGGTATTTCTTCCACAGCCCATGGGGCATACCTTACTCCCAGCCTCAGGCCCCTGGATACCATCCTCTATCAGTGATGCTCCAAGCTCAAAGCAGGGCGTGCAGCTTCCTTCAACCTCTAACAGCCCCACCTTGCCCAGGCCACATCCACCTACCTTGCAGCTCTGCAACCTTGGTCATTGTTGGATACTTCCATAGAACCAGCTGATTCTGTGCAAAGCCATGGCCTGAAATGAACTCCTTGTAGTTTGTTGACCACAGGATAGAACAGACCTGAGAAGAGGCAGGAACACAGATAAGACAAACTGCTTGTGCTGATGGTTACCCACTCAGAGGTGAGCATTGCCCTCCCCTCCTTTTAAGGAGCCAGCAGCTCTGTGTAGGTGTGCTGCCAGAAGTTGTTGTTCATGTCTCACCTGGGAGTGGGCATCAACAGTACTGAGGCAGGCACCAGAGCACACATTCCAGATGCGGATATGTCTGTCACTAGTGCCACCTCCAGTGGCTAGAACATTCATCTGCCATGGGCACCATGCCACAGCCTGAAAGACAAGAGTTCATTTTAAGATATGCAAGAGGCAACCTGCACCCAGCCAGTGCTGCACATCTGCCTTGCACACAGCCATCTGCCCCTGGCAGCTCTGTGCTCACCTTGACAGCACCCTGGTGCTGAGTGAAGGTCTGTACAGGAGCAAAATCTCCACCCCCACCTTGGGTGCATGGCCAGACATTCACCAGATTGTCATTGCCACCACTGGCCAGGTAGCGGCCATCTAGAGACCATTTGAGTCCGCACACCTCCTGTGTGTGGCCAGCAAGGGTAGCCACATGATGCTCAGCCACTCGGACATCGTGGTGGTGGATGTGGCCAGTCCGTGCCCCGCTGCAGAGAGAAGAGAAGGCTTGCAGGGTTCGGCTGACACATTTTCACCCAAATCCATCTTTGTTGTTGCAAGATTGCTGTACCTGTCACCGGGTTTCAACCAGTGTTCCCAGCAACACTGTTCTGGGAACTGTTCTCCTCACTCTCCCAACAGCTAAGACTGACTAAGAATCCTAAGCCAGGACAGAAACTTCTCTTTGCCATCCCTAACCACACCATGGACTGAAGGATAGGAATTTGCAACAGCTGGAAACTGCCCTTGACCCACTGCTTTACCTGGAGAGGATGTAGCTGTTCCAGCTGAGGGTTCCCACACGGGCACAATGGCTGGTCATGTTTCGGAGACGTTTCTGCTGCTGAATGTCCCATAGCTAGAGAGGCAAAGTAAAAAGTTCTTCAGAGGAAACCCAGTCCTGTTGCTATGCCCTAGGAACCTCATTGCACAGGCTCTGGCATTCAGCCTCCTCAGGATGGGAACAAAGAAAATTTCTGTCTCATGACTATAGCACAGAAGGTAATGCCACTTATCAGAAAACCCCCAAACCAAACCCTGCCTTGCATGCTGCACTTGGCTGCATGGGCAGTTCCACCCAACACCAGGGAAGACAAGTCAGGTGCATGGTATCCTTTCTCTGCCAGCCAAGCTTTTTGTCCCCAGGCCCCACAGTTCTGTCAATCCCTAGGAAACACCTCTAGTTTTACTCTTGCACTCACCTGGACCTCAGCATTACTTGTACCAACAGCAAGGTAGTTTCCTTCTTTAATCCATGACACAGAGGAAATGTAAACATCTGGATGCTCCATCTGCAGCAGCTGGATAATCTCCCCAGAAGCATGATTCCACAGATAAACAGAGTTGTCCAGAGCCACTGCCAGGAAGTTCTGGGAGCTCCAGTCTATGAGATTCAGATCTGCAATTTGAAAAAACAATGCAGGTTACACTATGCTTACCTAGAGAGCCCTGCCCTTCACCCATGCTGATGCAGCAGGTATGTGTTGTGCACATGTGCACGCACACACGTACTAGTAAGGGGCAGTCTTCTGGGTGTCACTGTGCCCAGCTGGTGATCTCAGGTACCCTGCTCCCAGTCATCTACACAGTGCCCTAAGCCACTGTGCCTGTAAGGCTACACAGGGACACTCCAGAAGTGGTCTGTGCTAGCCTGGGTGCACAAAATAATACAAGCTACCCAGTTACACTGTCCTAGGGTCAGCACTCCAGGGCAGTGTTGTGGATGTCCAGCACTCAACCATGCAGCCCACTTACAGTAGTCATTGCGGATCTCTGGTGCATCCAAGATCCGGTCTGGCATTGACGGAATGTATCTGCTATTCTTCCTGCTGGATCCAGGCGTCATTCTCTGACTGTAGAGCACTTTCAGGTTATTCTGATAGCCTGTGTGCAGAGAAACAGGCTTGTTAACCTGAGTTAGTTTCCTCCCAGCTGAGTGCTGCTCACCCAGCTAGGAATCCCCTGGAGTGAAAATAAAGTCCTACATGATAGATTCGCAAGTGTGAATGTGCAGTGTGCTAGCGTCACTGGCAGTTTGAATTGCTGAACAGGGTGAGTTACAATTCCCTCATTCATGGAAACAAATTTAACAAACACTTGGGGTTTTGTATCCTTTTTAGTTACAGTTAAGCTAGAAAGTGCACAGCCGAGAGTTTGATGCTCTTGCAGACCTCAAGAAGGTTTGCAACCTGGAGTATGGGTGAGGAACCAGCAGTCATAGCAATTTTCCTAAATAAATTCTGTAACTAAATAACTGTAACTGTTATGCCCTCCCTCAACCTCAGGAACCCAAAGAGAGGAAACAACACCAGTGCCTATAGCTCTCAGAAACCAGCTGATTTCTCCTGTGACCACACACAGAGTCTGTGTTGCTGTTCCTCTGACCAGATCTCCCCTGCTGATTCAGCTCCCACAGACCCTGTATCGTACCTTCTGGAGCATTCTGTAGTTTTCCACTGAGACGGAGGATCTTTGCCTCTTCTACATCAAAACCATTCAGATTCACTGCCCAGGCTTTCTGTTGCTCCTATGGAGACAAATCACCCTCAGTCAAATGCATTTAAAACAACTCCCATACTGCAGTTAATACAGACACCTAAGTCCCCTTCTTTTAGAATCAGGAGGTGTTCAACTGTGCTGCAAGAGTCAGCCACAGACAGGTAGATTGAAACAGTTTTCCCTAAGACTTTCACACATTGTCCTGCTCAGATTTTCATACAATGGCAAATTCAGTGTCGTTGCCAGTGGGAAAAGCCACAGCCACAAGTGATCAAATGCTTCATAAACAGATTTCAGAACAGTGTAAAACATTCCAGAAGCATTCCCTGTGTAGACTTTGTCCTAAAATAGCTACCACCAGCAGTTTCACTTTGCATAGGCTCACAGCTTTGTGTTTTTGTTGCCTGCTATATTTTAAAGCCTCATTAGTCAAAAGCTAAATTTTGCTACCAGAAGCAGCATAGGCTAGAGTGTGTGGCAGTCTCCACAGCTCCAATCTCATCCTAGGCTCCCAAAGCCCAGAATTGCAAGTAGTGATGGCTGGGGCCTGTCAGTCCCACTTGATAGAACCTATAGTTTACGTCTTTGTAAAGGGTCAGGAAGGATGAAGTGTTTAGTAGTCGTTGTTGAAGTAACTGTAACTTAGAAACATGCTCACCTTCTTGGTAGGGGATTCCTCAGCAGGGTCATTCTCTTTGGTGAGGAGGAAATTTGCCATCTCCATCTGCATAGCGCTGCGGCTGGGAATGTAGCGATCCCCCCCAGCCTTTGTGGGGGTGCTTTGAATTTTGGATCCAGATTTGCCTGCATTCACATATGAAAACACTGTCTTACAGCTATTTAACAGCCTGTGCTAGAGCTTTCATGAGAGCAAACCCAGCACTCTTCCACATCACACCCACCAGACAAATTCTAGACAAGCAGGACTCAGATCTCATGCCACCCAGTCACAACTAACTTATATTTTTCCCCCTGCCACCAAACTCTGGTTAGGGACAGTCAGGAAACAACTCTTTGGGCCTAGTGCAACAATTCCAGCGTCCATAGATGAGGGGAGGATATAAAAACACTGTTACAGGATGTAAAGCTGTCAGCTGACAGTCACACCCACACTTGTCCCAACATGCAGTTACGCCGGCAAGGCTCAGTTAGGGGATCAGCAGTTCACCAGCTCCAGTGCTCAGAGCTCTGCCCGTCGTGCTGGGAAGAAGGTGGGTGATTACCAGGAGCACAGCCCACCTCCTCCTGCCTGACCACCAAGCCGGTGGAGCAGCGTGGCAGGGAGCCCAGAGCCTCGTGGCTACAGACAAGCAGCCTAGGAGAAACTCCCGCACTCAACCTCTGCCGCTGATGGCCGGCACTCACCGGGTGTCTTGGACGGCGTCTTGCTGGAGCTATGGGAGCGATTGGCCGGCTTCATGGGCGACACGCCGACGGGGCTGGGCCCGGGGCCACTCTCCTTGGCCTTGCGCTGCCATCGCGCAGGCGGAGCGTTCGGGATCGGCGTGTCCAGCTTCAGCAGCCCGTGCAGGTCTGCCTCGAACAGGAACTGCGCCATGGTCCTGCGGGCGGGCGGCGTCAGCCGGGCCCAGCGGCCGGGCTGCNCTCCAATAGGCAGGGCACGACGGCCTCCTCCGGCGGCTGCTTGTCGAAGGCGCTGTCCTGGGGGGACACGCAGTGGACGTGGTAGGGGCTGCCCTTGGAGCTGCCCCCGGGGTGAGCTGAGCCGCTCTGATCCAGCCCCTCACCTGGCCGTGCTTGCTGCTCTCCTGGAGGAAGTTGCCCAGAGCACGGTGCAGGTCAGGAACAGGTGGCCAGAGTTTCTCCTTCACGTTGCTGGGTAGCGGGGAAGGGGCATCGAAGGTACCCTCAGACTTGGGGTGCCCTGATGCCCCGTGCAAGGTGCCCAGGCTCGGTGCTGGAGGCCCCCGCCCACAGCCCTTTACCTGTAGAGGGAGGGGAAGGTGCACCGCAGCCCCAGGAGCACTGCTGAGAAGAGCAGCAGCACCACCGCAACGCTGGGGATGAGCCAGCCTGCATCGGAGGAGGAACGCTGGAACTGTAGCCCTTCCCAGACTCACCTCCTCTGAGCCCTTCGCAAACCTGTCACCCTCTGCCCGCTGCTCCCCACCCCGTTTCCAGCACTCTCCTGCGGTCTCCTGCGGTCAGCCGCCTGGCTGCTCCAGCCTCCAGCCCTGCCCTGTCCCTTACCCGCATCAGCCATGGCATCAACCACAACAGGTTTGGACCAGGCGCTCCAGCTGCCCTGGTACCACGGCCCGCTGGGCTGCGCCCGCACCTGGGCGTGGTAGCGGGTTCCTGGTCGCAGGTCCAGGACTTCTTTCCTAGCTGCTCGTGGAACCTGCAGGACCTGCGGGGCACAGCCGAGCTGGAGGCATGGCTGCTCTGGGGTGGCCAAGGCACCAAAGGGCGGGTCCCGGTTTGCCTGACCGCGGAGGTAGGCAGGGGTGCTCGGGGTATCCTGGCCAGGCCCTACCTTCCAGTCATGGCTATTCTCCGTGGCATAGCGGACCTGGTAGTCCAGCTGCTCTGCCAGCAGCTCCAGGGGCGGCAGCCACTGCAGGCTCAGCCGGCCCTGCGACACCGTCGCCTGCACAAGCTGTGGGGCTTCTGTGAGCACTGTTGGTGTTGGGGACAGGCATGTGTCGCTCCTGTGAAACGGATCATGGGACACTGTGTCCCCTGTGAGCCAGGCAGGGGCTGTGGTGGCACTGGGACTCACCAGCCTGGTGCAGCCAAAAGGGTTCTTTGAAGTAGCTGAGTGTGGGCAGCATGTGGGTCCGTGTGACATTCACCAGGACGGAGATGGCACTGCCAGCCTTGGGCTGGAAGGTGCAGGCATGGGTGCTCTGTGCCCCCCTGCTCACCTCCCAGCACTGTTGCCATGCGTCTTCCCTATGGGAGAAGTGGGAAGCCAGTCAGTCCCACCAAAGCATTCCCACAGCCAGCATTCCTCCTGCACTTGCCCAGGAAGGCTACTGCTGCTTGTAGCTGGAGGTGCAATGTGGCCAGGAGAGGTGGTGAGGAAATATGAGATTGGTGGTGGTAGGGCAGGACAGAGCAGGGCATGGGCAAGGGGCCCAGTGTGGGATACTGGGACCCAGCAGGACCAGTGGTCCCTGGGATGTGCCTGCCCGAGTGCCGTATGCCTGATGCCCCTTACCTTGTGCCAGCCCCGCTTGGAGGTGGCCGGTAGAAGAGCTGGTGGGAGCTGTGGGGCTCTGCAGGGTCCCAGCTCCACTCGCAGTGCACATGCCGCAGGTCAGGGGTACTGCAGCACAGCCCGATGTCTCCTGGGCAGGCAAGAGCCAGGGCAGGGAAGGGGCTGCTTCCCCTTGACCCCCCAAAACTTGGGTGTTGTACCTCACCTACAGCAGGACTCCCACCCCCTGCAGCCCCAGGCCTGGGTGCCTGTCCCCTGCAGAGGGGACGGCTGCTCACCGGAGGAGTGGGGTGTCTCTGCAGCCACTGCCTGCGACCAGGGCCCCCAGACACCGTCCATGGAGGTACCGTCGGGCTTGCTGCGCACCCGGATGTGGTACCTCACCCCTGGCTGCAGGTCCCGGAGCACCACCCTGGTGTTGGCCTGGACCAGCCTCTGTAGGAGAGGGGCCAAGCTGAGGAGCAACTGCAGGACCCAAACCCCCCTGCCCATCCCTGACCCCTTTATATACCTGCCCCACTCCTGGTAAGGCTTCTACAGCCCTGGCTGTGTGGGTGCTGACAGTGGACTGGATGGAGGGGTCTCCAGGGTGCTGCCCCCCGGGATTCAGTGTGGTGCTGCAGAGCATCCCTGGGGTGTTGGCAGGGCAGCACTGCACCTCGTAGAGGAAGAAGTTCAGGAAGTCAGCGAGTGGTGGCTGCCACGACACACAGATCTGCCCTGCAGCCCCAGCCCAGCGGGCTGTGATGTTCACTGGGGGAGCAATGAGACCTGCAGAGAACATGCCAGGGTGTTTGCCCTCCTGCAGCAGCCCTGGTCTGGGCAATGCCTGGTCCTGCTGGAGGACACATGGAAGTTCCCCCCAGAGCTGCCTGTGTGGCCAGCATGCAGGGCTCAGGGTGTTGCCAGCCCCTGTGGCAGGCAGAAGGTCAGGGGACCCAGATCTGGGGACTGTCCTGTTGTCACAGAGTATTGCCCAGTCAGAGGGACTCACCCACTGCATCCACGCTGAGCTCCCGCCAATACTTCGTGTGGTTTGTGGTGGCATCCAGGACACGGAGGTGGAGCTGGGTGAAGAGCCGCACGTCCTGGCTGGGGAAGACGCAGACATGTCGCTTCCCACCAGTCCCATGGTGCCACGTGGAGACCATGCACGCTGTGGGTGCATCCCTGAGGAATGGACAGCGGGGTCTTGCAGCACCTCACACCTCCTGTCTCAGGCCAAGCTTGAGGAGAGGGAATGTGGGGCACAGCACCAAGATCTCAGTGGCCCCAGCTCCTTTCCTGTACCACCATCTACTGCAGGGCACCATCCCCTGTGGGACAGCCAAGGCCCCAGCCCTGCTGCAGGCTCAGTGCAGCCACAGTGGCTGCTGTGTAGCTTCTGTGGGCTCTCCATCTCTCCTTGCAGCTTGGAGCCACTGGGATGGCCCAGATTGCTGTGACACCCTGACTCTGCTGCTGTCTGTGCAGTAAGGAAGAGGCTGGGCTGTGTCCCCACCATCTCCTACCTGCTGTACCAGTAGTAGAAGTGGCACATCCCAGTTGTTGTCTCCTCCTCATCCCAGAAGCAGGTGAGGTCCTCGAAGGAGCGGGAGAAACAGAGGATGTCCTCGGACAGGCCTGCTAGCAGTGCAGCGTCTGGGAGGAGTGTGGGCATGAAGGATCCCCTGGGCACAAACCCATCCCCATCTCACCTGCTTCCACCCGCTCCATGCCCGTTGGCATGGGGGGCAGCCTGAGCAGGGCCATGGCACAGGTGCTCTCCACAGCTTGGCACACTGGGGAGGGACACGGCACCCACGCTGGCTGCTGGCTTGCACTGGGGTCCTGGCTGATACAGGGCTCCCCCCGGCCCCACCATGCCCCCCTCCTCAGAACATGAGGTCCTCGAGGACAAACAAACATCCCAAAATAGCCCTGTGGTTGGAGGGAAGCTCGGGGCACAGCGATCAGGGGGAAGCACCCCTGCCCCGCTCGTGCCGGAAGGTGCACGGAAGTGAGATAAGGAGGAGCAGCACTCCAGGGAAAGGGAAAGGGCCTGGGGGCTGGTGTGTGGGCATGAGGTCCTGAGCAGGGGGGATGCCCAAACCACTGCCCGGGGACTGCCCTGGGGGCATGTGGTTCTCTGTCCCCCTCAGTAAGCCGTGCTCCCTGTCATTACACAGACAAACTGGAGCATCACACCCTGCAGGATCTTCATCCAAAGCACTGGTAGCTCTGCTGACATATGGGTGTCTGCCCCTGTTGTCCTGGAAGAGGGGACAGCCCCAAGATGCAGATGTGTAATGCACAGGGGTGGTCTTGCTGCCCCCAGCATTGCTTCAGCAGTCCCTTCTCCCCCACTCCCTCTGCCCTGGGACCTCTTCCAGCCCTCTTCCTCCTCTTCCTATTGGCATTTGCTGCCTTCCCCAGGGGTTGCCCCCAACTTTGGGACCCCACAAGTCCTCTGCCAATGTCTGCTGCATTTGCTGAGTGTATCCATTCTCTGCTACATACCCACTGCGCTGACAATTGAGCCCACCCTAGGCAAAGAATAAGTCACAGTTCTCAAATGTTCTTGCCACCTTCTTGCTGTCCTGCTTGCCCTGTCCCATCTCTTGCCTGGAAGCGCCCAGCCCTGTTCCTCATTTCCCAGCCCTGTGTTGCCTTCTTCTCCATGCCCACTGCCCCATCACCACCACAGCCTCTCACCTGTTCTTCTCTTTTTGCCCCCATTACCCCACCCCGGGCCTCACGCTGGCTGCATGCCCTCACCCAGCTCTAAGCCCCAGGAGATGAAGTGGTCAGGTCCCAGCAGCTTGGTGGCACAGGGACCCACGGCATCAGTGGGAGGCCACCCTGGTCCTGTGGGCTATCAGAGTATCTTTGCTGAGCACAGCCCATTTCTCAGGCAGGGCAGCTGCCCAGCTCTGCAGCCCACACCAGCCATACTCGGACAGTGCTGCCAAGCCAGCGGAGGGCTCAAAGCACAACGACTTTGCAGAGACTGTGGGCAGAGAGAGGATGAGTCCTACCTGACCCTCGTCCCACTGCCCCTATGGGAGTGACTCAAAATGTGCTCCTGAATCTGTCCTGGCCAGAGACCCAGGGAGGGGGTGGGGCTGGAGAGACAAACAGGAGATCAACAGGGTTTTATTCAGTTAATGCTTTTTATGGTGTTACAGAAAGTTCTAAAGAGGCACTCATAGAGAAGCCTGAAATGAGACAAAGCTGGGGAGTGGCTCTGGCAGGTGCAGTGAGCCAGACTGGGGCCAGCTATCAGCTCAGATGAGGGTGTCCAGCAGGACAGTAAGATCACGGCAAGCCTGATGCAGGAACATGGGGTTAGCCTGGAAAGTGCCAGTGCATTGCCTGTGGTGCAGAGCTGTGCCATCAGATGTTGAGTCTTGCTGAAGCCCTTATCATGTCATAACTCTGAGAACTTCTAATGAGTGAGGAGCCCCTCTGCTACCTGAACATGACTGGGAGCACCTGGCTGCCATCCCCAGGGGTAGCCAAGCACTGCTTGCAGAGAGCATGGATATTCCTTTACTCCAAGCATCTCAGGGTGTCCCACAGGTGAGAAGGGCTCTCCATTGCACACCCTGAACACCCCCTGCACACCCTCCTGGAATGTCCCCTTCCCAATCCTGTAGATTTTGGCTGCTGTGAGGTACTCGCTGCCCACTGGCATTCTAGCTCCTCTCTGACCCGTCCTTTAGGGGAGAAAATAGTCCCAAGGACCTACCTTGGGATGTCACTGGCTCAGGGGCTGATGGTGGGCTGCGGAGGCTGAGCAGGATGGCAGGGAGCAGCGAGAGCTGCCAGCCCTGGCACAGGCAGGCTGCCATCCTGCAACCCGTGTGCTGGAGCCACACGTGCCACACTCGGCCCTTCCCAGTGTCCTGGGAGCTGCTGTGGCTCCTCTGGGCGATACCTTTATCTGGGAAGTGGTGGCTGTGCAGCTCAGGAAGCCTGGCTGGGGGCTCCCCCCGCCCCATCACCAGCACTTCCCTGTGCCTGAAACCACAATGCCACAGCCCCTCTGCCGCCGGCTGCAGTGCCAAGAGAGACTGCTCCTATCAGATAGGTGGTATGTCCTGCCCTTGTGGCTACTGGCATGCTGGGAGGATGGGGTAGGAAGAAAAACAACCCCCAAGAAATTAGGGAGGCCCCTGTGTGGGGCAGGGTGGGCTGTTTGGGCTGTGCCACATGGGAGCATGGGATATGGCACAGGGCATGTGCCTCCATTGTGTCCTGTGGCATTCGGCCCCTGTGAACTCCAGGTCTGCCCTGCCAGCAGCACTGTCTCCATGGCTGTGCTGGGAGCAGAGCTGCAGGCACAGGGGGCAGAACCCACAGAGGTGCTAGTAGTGGTGGTGGTGCAGGAGCAGGGCCACCACAGTTAGGTCCCACACTCATGCTCAACCTCATGCCAGTCCACTGCTTGTGGTGGCTGGAGGGTCTCCTGCCCTGCCAGGGCACAGCACTGTTGCTGAGCCCAGGGGACACCAGGCAGGACACAAAGAGCCTCTTGGAACTCTGTCCCCTGTGCACCAAGGCCAGGTTTGCTTCTTCAAGCCCAGCAGCTGAAGACAGCAACAGAGGCACTGAGCGGAGACAGGGGCACCCAGCCCCAACCTGCCACCGACAAATTTTGTCAAAAAAAGCAGAAAGACCTAGGTGTGAGCAGGACTGGTGACACTGCCCTGGACACTGTTCCCAGCTGGGAGCAGAGGGTTTGCAGAGGCAGTGGCACATGTCAGGCTGTTCATGAGGGTCAGTCCCCATCACTGATTCACTGGGGACCTCAGGGATGGGGCAGAGAGACTGCTCACTAACAGCTGCAGTTGACACCAAAGAGCACTGGAGAGGTCAGAATGGAAAATCAGAATGGTATTGACAGGGTTCAGAGACCTTCTGGGGATAAAAGACTCTTGTCCAGAGGGACAATGCAAATGCCCCTGTCTCCAGCAGGTTTACCAGGCTCTGCAGGAGCCACTCTTGTTTCTCGTGGGACTACAGAAGATGAATAGAAGAATAGAATAATGTAGAAAACATGCTGGATGGCATGTCCAGGGCTGAGCAAGCTGAAGCCGGCATAGGTGAAACCCAACCATTCTCAGGGTAACAAACAGCAGCAGTGCAGGTGAGGGACCAAAGCCTGGGACAGGAGCTCCTCCAGGAGGGTCAGTGAAGAGCTCAGGTGACCCTCGAGGGATGGGCATGTCTGAGCAAGCTGGTCAAACACAGCCAGATGTGGGAAATTACCTGATGGCTTGGCACAGTGCTGAGAGGTGCCAGCTGGCCAGGGAGGGAAGGGTGTGGAGTTGCACAGCTCCACAGGACCCAGCTGGAGGAGCAGGGCCATCCCTTTAAGGAGCAGCCAGCTGAGGGGAAAGCTGCAGGAAAAAATTTCAAGCATACAAGGGGCAGTTGTGCACAGGAAGAACATAGTCTGTTCTCCATATCCCTTTGGGGACAAGACCAAGTCTTAAATTATGTGTGTGTGAAAAGATCCCAGTTGGATCCCAAGAGAACCCATCTCCATGTCAGGATGAGACCTGGGACTTCTCTGGGAATGCTGGACATTACTGGGTATTATCAGAGGACCCCAATGGGAACAGAATTCTGAGGAGTGCCCACCACAGCAGCAGATCACTGGGCCCTCACATCCTGTTCCCCAGTGCTGTCAGTGGGGCAGAGTTGGGTCCCTCCAACACTCCTCTGGACACGGCTGTTGCATGATCTTTATTGTCTGTAAGGCAGAGCTGACACTTCTGAAGGGCTACTGCAGAGCTGGAGGCTGTGCACAGTCAACACTGTCCCTTTGCACCTGCCAGGGTGGCCCCATCCCATGCCAGCAGTGCTGCTCACAACCCCTGGCACCACCTCAGGCCCAGAGCACACTGAGAGTTGCAGGGTGGCCAGTTGCTGTGTTGCTGCTTCCTCCTCTTGCCCCAAAGCTTGAGCATTTCTGTCTGTGGGCTTAGGCAGTACCCTGGTTCCTGAGGGAGGCCCTCTCCTGCCTGCTCTGCTGCCAGCACCCTTTTGCTGCTGTTGTCTTTGGGGGCCATCCCAGCATGCCCCCAGCAGTGTGGGGCTGTTAGTGGCTGGTGCCATGACAGGGAAGGGATATCACAGTCTTGCTGCAGGGAAGGCGCTCTTGGGAAGGGGCACTGCCATTTCGCTGCTTGGCCCTGGAGTGGGACGAGTAGCCCCTTGTCCCCACAGCACTGTTCCAGCAGGCTGGGGCCAGTGTTGCCCCTCTGAGCGGTGCCAGCGCAGCCTCATGCCTCCTCGGCAGTGGCATCGATCCCCGCGTAGGTGAAGTTCTCAAACAGGGCCATGTTCACGTAGGCCTGTGGGGGAATCCCAGTTAGGAGCCAGCTGTGAACATACCCACATCTACCTCCCGTCCCCACTAGCCTGCTCGTGGGCACTGTGTCCCGTTGTCTCCTCACACCCTAAAAGTGACAGTGGGATTAACCCCCACACATGGTTCTGCTCTGGCTGTCCAGTCCTTGAGGCCAAGGGATGCTCCAGCATGTGGAAAAGCCCCGTGCCCTGTGGGCATCCCTCCTCCTGAGCCGCTACCACTCACCTTCCTGGCCTCCAGCATGCGGATGAGCTGCATGGAGATCTGGGCGAAGGGAGGGCGCTCGTAGGGGCGGTCGCGCCAGCACTGCCTCATCAGCTCGTACCTGGGGACGGAGAGTCGTGGGCGGCTCAGTCGCACAGGAGAGGGGATAGAAAAGCTCTTTGTGGGAGATAGGGGAAGCAGGTGGGAAACTAAAGCCCAGGAAAGGTGTTTGGGTGTGGGACCCCAGCCCATCCCTCAGCCACAATGCAGAGACAACCAGGCAGAAGCTCTTCAAAGTTGGTGCGAGCCCTGTGGGTTGCCACCATCAGCCAAGCCTCTGTCCACTTACACCTCGTCGTCGCAGTTGCGCGGCTTCTCCATGCGGTATCCCTGGGGCAGCTTCTCGTAGAGCTCAGCACACGTCATCCCGCAGTACGGTGTCCCCCCTACAGCCAGAGACACACGGGCTGAGGAGGTGACAATCCCTAGGGTGTTCCCCTGGGTCTGCAGGATAACAAGACCTACAGGGATCTGAGTGAAGGCAGGGGACAGAGAAGAGCCTTACCCAAACTGACAATCTCCCAGAGCAGGACACCGAATGACCACCTGGAAAGGGAGGAGCCGAGGCTGTGACAGAGTGCCCAGCTGTGCCCCGCTGATGGGAACAGGGCAAAGCCCAGGGTGGAACATGCAACCAGGGCTTGGGCTGAGACAGCAGCACCTCGGGGAGATGCACCAGCATCACCTCCCGCCCTTGCAGCAGCCAGAGCAATAGTATCACATCTCTGACTGCGCCAGACAGGGGTGGAGGCGGCCACAGCTATGCCCTGGCCTGGTGCCCCCTCCTGCAGCACTTACACATCGCTCTTGGTGGTGTACACGCTGTAGTTGAGGGACTCGATGGCCATCCAGCGAACTGGCAAACGGCCCTGGGGAAAGAGAGAGCAACCATCAGGGCTGTGGGACAGCCCCTGGGTAGAAGACAGCTGTGATCCAGTCAGTCCTGCCATGGTGGGTTGGTCACACTGATGGTGGGCATCCTACCCACCACACGGGTGCAGGCCCCATGGAGATGTTTCACTCCTGGCTCACCATTGTTTTCTTCACATAGACCTCCTCCCCTCTGGAGAGGCCAAAGTCAGCAATTTTGGAGGCCAGGTTTTCTCCCACCAGAATGTTTCTTGCTGCCAGGTCCCTGTGAATGAACTGAAAGGCAAGAGCAGTTAGCAGGAGCTACATGCTCCCTCCTGCTGGCCCCAGGGACCTCATGCCCTGATGGGGGAACCCCCAGGCCTCCTGGGGAAAAGGGTGAGCTGAGGGGCTTGCTGGGATGTACCTGCTTCTCACTCAGGTACTGCATCCCCTTGGCCACATCTGAAGCAAACTGGAGGAGCTGCTGGGATGTGAGGGTGGAGGCAGTGCCATGCTCCTTGGCAAAGGCTGGGTCTGTCTCCAAGACTCGGCTTTTGCGGAGGAAGTCGAGGAGGTTTCCATATGGAGCATACTCAATGGCAATGTACAGGTAGCCTGGGGGGCAGGAGGAGGTTGGGCTGCTGGGGCTCTCCCCGGCAAAAAGGAATAGACAGCTGGGCAGAGGTTTTGAGGTATGGCATGAGTGGGGCTGGGGTAGAATGGGACAGTCCTCACCCTTGTTCTCACAGGCACCCAGCAAGTTGATGATGTTGGGGTGATGGCCCAGTTTGCACAGCACCTCCAGCTCCCCGGCAAAGTCCCGATGGTCATTCTCTGAAGCAAACTCTGGAAGCAAAGGAGGGAGGAACACCTCAGGCCTACAACAGGGGCCTGTCCTCTGCTTCTCTGCAAATGACTCCTGATGCTTCCCAGTGCAAGCATGGCCCAGGACACAGCTGCAGCACTCAGCCCACCCTGCCTGCCTCCCCTTTCAGCACTCACCTTTCAGCATCTTGATGGCTGCATTCATTTTCAGGCCGTCCTTTTTGATCATGGCCCTGATTACCTGCCCAAAGTTGCCCTCCCCAATCATGTCCTCAAACTTGATGTCCTCCCACTCCAGGATGGGGTAGCTGAGTGGCTCAGGCTGTGGCTTGGGCCGGCGTGTCAGGGTCAGGGTCCCTGAGTTGAACTGTAGGATGGTCTCTTCCCCCTGGCAGATGGAAGTGGGTGAGGTTAGGGGCACCAGGCACCTCTGCCCACGCGGCAGTCCCAGCAGGACAGGAGTCATGGGCAAGGGCGGGCTCCGCACCCTCTCCGTGTGGAAGTGAGGTCTGGCTGCATCCGGGCTGGAGGCTATGGAACGTGACCTGGATCGGGCTGGGATGTGGGGAGCAGGGGACACGGTCCTGGTGGGGCAGGCGGCACTCACCGAGCCAGACTGGTATGTAAAGGTGCGGCGCCGGTGGAAAAAATTCTTCTTGATGAGGAAAAGTGCCAGGAGAGCAAAGAGGATGGTGAAGCAAGTGACGGACACAGAGCCAACAATGGCCAAGAGCAGCTGCTGGTCTGTTCCTGCCTGCTCAGTGCTCTGGCTGCCCAGGCTGGGCGGCACACTCAGTGCTCCTGCCAAAAGGAGGGATGGAGGGTTGTGGTCCATGGTCAAGCCCCGCTTGGACTGTACTAGTGGCCAGCAATGATGACAGCAGCCCTCTCCCAGCACCCAGAGCCCCCAATGAAGATACCATAACCACATCTTAAGCTCCTGGTGCCACAATGGCACAGAGGAGAAAGTGTCACAGCCCAGCTCCTGGCACTGAACAGCTGGTTTCTGGAACTCCAACCGGCTTTGGGTCAAGCCATGATCTCTTCTCATGCTGGCTCTGCTCTACTCCCCTAGCCCCTTGATTCACATCCCCCATTGCCCAAGGCAGAGTCACTCTGTAGGTGCCATGATGTCATCATGCCACTGCTGCCCCTGTAGGACTAAGAGGAACAGGTATTCTTAGGACACAAAGAGTTTTGGTCTTGGGCTACTGCTTCAGAGCCATGTTCAGAGGTTACCACAGGCACCCCAACCACTCTTTTCTGACCCAGAATCTGAGCCCAAGCTGCAGCAGAGCTATGAGCCCCCTGCCTGCTGGGACACCCCTCTCACCGTCCCCAAGGGTCTTGGCTTTCACGGGCTGGCTCCATTCCCCTGGAACATGGGAGTTGGCACGGACACGAAACTGGTAGCTGGTGCTGGCGTTGAGGCCCCCAACGATCTTGGTGGTCTCAGCGCCGCTGTCGGTGTCAATCCACTGGGGTTCACTGGTGCCCCCCACCTGCTGCAGCTCCACAATGTACTTGGTGATGCCCCCGTTGGGGTACTCAGGCACCTGCCAGGAGAGCCTGACAGCGGTGTCGGACACGGGCTCTGCCGAGAGCAGCTGTGGGGAGGAGGGCCCTGGGAGCAAGAAAGGAGAGTGTCAGTCCCAGAACAGGGCTCCTCGTGCTGCAGAGGCTCAATGCTGCTGCTAGGATTGGACCCTGTGGATGGCAATGGCAACCAGAGCCAGGTCAGCTTTGAGGGATCTTCAGGGACCCCTGGGCCCTGCTTGGAGGAGGTGGAGGTGCTCTCCATGTACCACAGTGAAGCAGGACTCTATCCCCAAATGTTCCAGCCTGAGGTCTAGATGCTTGTGTATTGACTAGCTCTTGTGACATTTTATTTCTTCAGGCCTCCCTCACATACTGTGCTCCCACCACCTCCTCTGGGCCCTATCCTGCCTGCCCTCATCCCTAACCCCAAATTCCCAAGTCATACAAAGCTCTTGCAAGCAGAGGAGAGTGGAGGAAACCTCTCATCCCTCAAGCCTGATGCCTGCCAGTCCTCTCAACGTGTACTGTATGGTGCGAAGCCTCCCCAAAGGCCTTGCACATGCCTTTCCCCTTGGTTGCCAGAAAGCTTGGTTAGGCTGGTGTTCCACCTCCCCATGGTCTTCCACCACTTCCACACTTCAGGGGCTGCATATGTGTATGTGCCCACAGATGGGACTGTAGGGCTCCCTAGGCCCTAGTGACCACCCAGCAAAATTACCTGGCAGCAGGGTTAAAGCAAACCAAAGGGAAATATTTTTTTCATGCAGAGTA